GCCTTGCAAATTGCTTTAACGCCAATCCAGCTACATGGCAGTGTCTGACTGCCAGTGAAGGGTGGTGCCCCTAGATGCCATCGCCAGCATAAAACTACTGCATAAATACACAGGCAGCCAAACACAGAGTAAGGGAGGTGTATACCTCATGAAATAAAAGCCACATTCTTACCACACTGCACCCCTAAACACAACCAGCAAATGAGTGACGTAGCAGAATATAGCTAATTCACATTTCCATGGGTTTGGGGGCCGTCTCAAAGGGAACAAGGCCACCATCATCTGTTAAAACAATCAGTCACTAAATTAGCAGAGAATCTTGTTTTTCTTAGGCCTGTATTAATAACTGTATTTTTTCGGGAGAGGGGGGTATGGTCCTTGGGGAGTGAGGCTTGAGTCCCCTTTGTGGCAAAATAAACTCTTAAGAATTTAGCATGGTATCTCAGATCTCTTTCTAGCACGGTGCAGTTTGCAGCATATGGTAGCAGTTCAGCCCGAGGTCTGATAGAACCCTGGGGATGTGAGGGAACCACTGAAGGCCTGAGAAAGTTCTTCGATATGCTTTCTCAGGTGGGACTCAGAGCTTAGCACGAATGAGCCCATCACATCTCAATGCAACGTCTCATACCTGAACTCAACAGCCTCAATGAAACCTTGACATTCCACCTCCTGTTTTGCAAATTCTGTATGAATAGGTGGTACTTGGAGAACAAATGAAAAGCTTTAATCAATAGAGGGAAGCACAGGAATTGCAATCAAATAGGTGTTTGCTGCTTACACCTCAATGCTGGCATCCTGATGTGCTCTGCGCTCTTGGCTCACTGGTGTGAATGATTTAAAGAACATTTTCTGAACGTGGGCTGGTAGGGTGGGGAGGGGCATGCTGGCAGTAATGAGATCGTGTGAAGGACTACGTCAGAGGCAGCGGCACCTCATTGAGAAACCACCGACTATGTAATTTTACATTCAGCAGCAATTAAAATAAACGGTAATGCTTTACATTAACTGTACCTTTGTAATGCTTTTGTAATGCTTTCATAGAACATTCAGTGCACCTTCATAATGCATTCATAGAACATTTATTACGCCGTCATAATACATTCATATAACATTTTTTACACCGTCATAATGCATTCATAGAACATTCAAAAGCAACTTGTAGCTATACCTTAATATCGTAACATGCCTTAACAGCTTTAATATGCATTAATAACAAACTTAATATGATGATAACAATGTATATTAAAGCTGATAAGGTATGTTAGGATATCAAGGTAAACTTATATGTTCCTTATGAATTATGAAGGTGCAATGAATGTCCTACAAATTCATAATCATGGTGCTGATGTAAAGTGTTACCTAATAAACTAATTCTGCAGCTTGCACTTTAAATATTTCCTCAGATGTTTCTCTTTTATTATTTTTGTCTTTACTTTTCATACCCTTTTTATATGCTCGTATTTCTATGTTTTTTTTTGTACTCATTTTGCTAACTTTCTATATTTTCGTATTTTTCTTGTTTGTTGCATGGTCTGGATTAGCTGCAATTTCATTTCGCTGCTGGTGCACCAGCATTCATGCATGTGACAAATGAAAATCCCTTGAATCTTGAATCAATCTGTGTAGATGCAGCCTTTGATCCAACTTGGGCTGGCTGTGCATTCTGGGAGTATAATCGACATGAAACATTCTCATTTTGCCTCCAGGGTTCATCTGAGCTAATCAGTTATTGCAGAGCAGAATTGATAGATTATATTCATTTTATATTATATGCCATCATAAGAAACACATCTCTATTGTTCCAACCCACAGTATTTATAGTAGTAACACCACAGTCCTGATTTTTTTGTCAGAAGTTGTTCAGCTTTTACAGCAGCCATCGTGGCAATAAATCCTAGACCTCTATCTGTTTTTCTGGGTGAAAATAAATGTCAACGTTTAATGCCCCAGAGAAACAGAACCTTCATATTGATTTGTTTTGCTTTTGTCTTCACAGCTTATAAGGAATTTGAAGAAAACTCATTTTGACTTGGCGAGCAGAGGGTCCTCCCTATCAAAATTGCTCACATGGAGAAATAATCACATTAGGGGAAGAGCGATAGTGGAACAGATAAGAGATACAAATGTAGGAAAGACTGATTATCTTGGAGATTGGAGAATGGAACCTCTGCCATATTTTAAGTGGTGCTCTCAACGTTGATTGATGCAAGACTGATTGGCGCTTTGTACTTTGAGGAGAATTAAACTGTTTTGGTATTTAAGAAGTTATCTTCTTTTCTGGATAAAGCTTGAGTAAACAAATTGTATGTCATGTACATTGATATTTCAGATGTGCTTTTGTGTGTATGCGTCTCTTTCTGTGTGTGTGTCTTTTTTTGGGTGTCTGTGTGTGTGTGTGCATTTGTGTGTGTGTGTGTGTGTGTGTGTGTATGTATGTGTCTGTTTCTGTGTGTGTGTGCGTGTGTGTCTGTGTGTGTGTAGAGTACTCCAGGTAGGCTATTGAACAAGAAAGAGAAACACAAATCTATTACAAATGCTATGCAAGGACAATTGTTGTCCAAAAACATTGTGGCATGTATACTGTACGAGTATCAGTACGTTCTACTTCCATTCTTTGAGGAAATTTCTATAAATAGTGCTATTTTATTTAATTTGTTTGATAAATGAATGTAATGTCCTTTTCCAAAGTTCAACAAAAGGTAAAAAAGAAAAAATTAATTACTTAAGCAAGTCATTTTTCCTGAAGGGTCCTCACCAAGGCTTTCTGTAGCTCTAATTTGCTGCCTCAGTGTTTGGAAATCAAAGCAATAAACAGACACTTTAAGGCACATGCTATACTCTGTGCTGTCTTTATTGTTGGACTTTTATGTGTTCATTTCAAGGCCATGTCAAGCCTCGGGCCCCAACCTGCAAATGGTTAGTGATGCTTTTCACTTGGATCATCGGGTGAGAATGTGGTTCTTCACTGCTTCTTTGTGTATTGGGTGAACTAAGCCTTCTAAAGGACAGCTCCACTGTGCATCATTATACGATTATACAATTATCATTATTTGATGAGAGTGGGTAAGGAAATCAGTTCACTGTAGTCAGGGACGGATTAAGGTGTACAGAGGCCCCTAGGCTACAGTATTCTGTGGGCCCCCCAACCCCACCCCCCTCCACGCCAATGGGGGCCCCCTGGCAGGCTGGCACACGTGGGGCCCCTAGGCTTAAGCCATATCTAGCCTGTGCGTTAATCCGCCCCTGACTGTAGTACCTGACTGCAAACCAAACAAAATGTTCATATATTAGTTAATGATTTAATGTATTTGCCATTTGCAGAAATATGAATGCAGGCATGTTGGAATGCTTCTTTTTACATATTGCATCTTGCTCTTGTTTGACACATATAGATGAGAGTGAAGCTTGGGCTCCAAGTGCAGGGTCAGACTATTTATCTGGTGCCCCCGGAGCATCTGGGGGGAGGGGGGTGGTTCAGGGTCTTGCTCAAGGGCCCAATGGATGTTTGACTATTCTTCTGAGGCCAGGACTTGAACTCGACAACCATCTGATCACAGGCAAAAAGGCCCAACCCACTGATCTGCAAGCTAGCCCCAGTTATTCATGTCCTCTTGAATTAATCGCTCCCACCTATTTGGAAGATAATATATGAAGGAGAAATGTCAGGTGTGTGTGCGTGTGTGTATGTGTGCATTTTTGTAATTATTACATTGTGTGGACCAGATTTCCCCACAATGTGATAAAAATCTATAACTTTTAACCTTGTGGGGACATTTCTTCAGTCCCCACAATGATAAATTTTATAAAAATCTGTGAATGCGATCAAAAACCTAAAAATGCCAAAAGTTCTGTATTTTGTTTAGTTGCTTATGCTTAAGGTAGGGGTTGGGTAGGGGGTATGGTTTTAATAGATGGGATTAAGGTTAGGCCCATAGAAAAGAATGGAGAGGACTCATAAAGATATGAATACATGGACTGTGTGTGTGTGTACATGAGAGAGAGAGAGAGAGCATTGTTGTTGACATACTGACATCCTCTAAGATTGATATAACAATCATAGGATAGAACACAGAGAACACAGAAGGGATGCACAACCACCTATGTAGCGCAATCAATAGGCAGATAGTTGTTTCTAGCAATACACAAAGGATGTTTGTGAGATAAAGTATAATAGAGAAAAGCAGCTGGCAAAACAAATAGTGCAATAAAGGTGTATTAAAAAACATGTAATTCCTCCAGGAGTATGTTTTTATTTCATCATCTTTATTAACATTTCCATACTGACTGTGTGAAACACAACACTGAGCCTCAGAATGTGTGGGAAATTGTTCCTTATTAACACAGTAAGCCAGCAACAACAACCAAAAATGGGGGAAGTGGCAAAGGGTATGAACAAAGAAAGGCTATTTCCCTTTGAATTACAAGGTATGGCCATTTACACTGTGGCACACTCACCACAAAGTGGAAAACATAGAGATAAACTAAGCATGAATCACCTAGAACTAATAAAACTTAGTTGGGGGAAGACGCAGACACCTAAAAACACACAATAAAAAGTCACATTATTCAAATGGAAATCGTGCAATTTATTGTAGGGCTGAGGATAGATACAATATTATTTTTTTTCATTACAATTGTTGTGTAGAATATGCACTGTGCATGCTTCAGTGCTCTATGCAGTTATTTACATACGGTAACAACTAGATGTTTTTAATAAAGCAGTGTAGGATAATTTGCTTAATACCTGGTAGCATAGAACAAATGGTAAGAAAAGCAACTCATGAATTTGCATCATATATTTTTATTATAGATTTTTTTTATTTTAAATAAAGGACACTTTGTCCAGTGTGATGGTGGATAAATTGGAATTTTCAGATGAGTCACTTCCTTACTGATAAGGATGTGCGTTACACATCAATACTGCACATTTTTATATTTTGAATTTGTTCCAGCCGGCGGTAACACAGCGGAACTATAATCGCAGCCGCGAGCGCAGGACGTGCGGTTTCCTGTGACGGAATGAGTGACGCGTTTCCGCCCGTCTCAGTTGGTTGCTGGCTCCGCCGGAGCGCTCCTTTAGGCAGGCAGCCTAGATTTGCTGTTTCTTTTCGATAAACTCCTGTGATATACTTTTTCGTCACTGTTGTCGTGGTATGACGTGCAGACATTAACCCTAACCTACTGTTGTAAGCGGCGGCTGTGACGACGGACTGGTGATTATGGTGTAGAGACGGAGCCGCATTTCCCAGAAACTGCAGGTAAACATGACAGACGGAGACTTCTTATCTTGTTTTAATAGAAAGTGTCACTTTTCGCCAATGACATGCCTGTATTCCCCTGGCTTTTTCACTACACACCGTATTGTACACTTGTAATTGCTTGTTTATCAGCGTAATAGCGGCATTGGGTTTACCTTTAACCAGTGTAGTATTAGTACTTGCGAGTTACCGACACAGCAAAAGACGCCGGGCTCCGTAGCTAACTGCTAGCTAATATTAGCAACACGCAGGGCCGACGCGACCCCGTAGACTGAACAGCTAATATTAGCTACACTGCAGGTTTTCGTGGCTTTAAATTTTGTATTTTGTACAATAACGACATGTAAAATGAAAAAGAAAAAGTACTACATTTTTGTACAGTACGTGCTGTTCCCTCTGGAGAAACACACACACACACACACACACACACACACACACACACGCGCACATATACATATAAGGTCATAACAATCAGACTAACCAGTTGTACAGTTTTTAAGCTAAACGTTCTGAAATATAGCCATATAGTCGTGGGTGGTGTAAGTTCATGAGGGAGGGCACTCTTTCCTGCCCAACGGACTGGGGGTTGTGAACGGACACTTCACGTCCGGGTTTGGGGCGTGTGCTGGGTTTACTGAGTGAGAAAGAGGACGTGGTTTTAATATACCAGATAAAATGCAGAAATGGGAGTGATTGTGTATCGGTGACAGGATGGGTGACCTGGCGTTCTCAGTCATTTCTGTTGGGTCAGTCAGTGCATTTTACCTCTGGGGGTTTAGGGACATGTTCTCGACAGGACTGAGGTTCCACATTTGTGTTTCAGATCCAGATGAGGGTGCAAATAATTTTTAGTTTTAGTGAATTAGACGTTTTGTTTTTGACAAAGGTGCTTTCGGTAATAATTAGGCAATTCAGTTGATGAATAAGTTGGTAAGGTCCCCACGTAAGCGCTGAAAATTAATGATAGTGACTGAATGCCAACTCAAGTTGACGTTTCTCCTTATCAACCTTCAGGAGCGTTACGTGGTAGCATTTAAAAAGCCTGTTTCTTTGAGATATGACATTTTATCTAAAAAATGACAGCAAAATTTCAGCCAAGGACATTAATTAAAAACCCTTCAGACAGTACTTATAGTCATGTCTAGTCTGGTGTATAGCAGTATAAAACACTGAGCTTTATAGGTTTAGCTCATCATTCTGCATTGACCTTGCCACAAATGGATATTTGTCATGGTGTTTAGAGTTTGCAGGGCGGAAATGTATTTGGAAATTCAGGCTTACACAACTGGGAAACTACTGTGCAAAACGGGTCAGATTTTTGGTTTATTTTTGAACAGGTTGACATTGTTGGTTGTTGCAAGAAGCAGCAATGAGTCATACCCTCTGTTGTGTTGGGTCTTTAATCACGTTTAAATTGGGTAGTGAGGGGAGAAAAAACACTAAATAAGTTATTGGGTTGCTTAATTTACTTTAAAGTGTCATAAACCTCGGAAGGCCCAGGAGTGATTGTGCATGTTTTCAGTTTTAATGCAAAATAACACGTTTAATATGTCATTTCATTTTGGTAGGTTAAGAGGATATTACAACCAAAACAGCTTGTATAGCTTAATGTGTAGGCTGATTCTTTGGTGACTAGTACGGCGTCTCTGAGGGTTGTTTCACCAAAACATGGTTATATGTTCATCATATTTGTAAGTCATAGTCTTTATCTGATTTGGTTTATTATCCATATTCCTGCCATTTATCCCAGTCAGGGTCTTCTAGAGCCTGTCGTAGGCAGTACTGCCCACAAGACAGGGGTATATGTTGGCAAGATGCCAGTCCATCACAGGAGACGCACACATACACAAGCATGCACTATGGGCACTCTTTAGCTTCACTACATGTCACCGGACTGTGGGTGGAAAGCCTGTGGCGTGGGGGAGAACATACAAGTGCAGCACAGACAGAGGTGGGATTTGAACCTCACCCCTAGGTGTATGAAGCAGTAATTCTGTAAAGTAATTATGGAAAGTAAAAGTGTAAAGTAATGATTCTGACACACCAGGCTCGAAGACTTTATGGGATTTCCAGGTAGAGTTAGTCTCTCATCCATTCTAAACTTTAGCTGTGTCCAGAACCAAGCATTTATGAGAATCAGAGGGAGTAGATGCCCAGCCTGTCATTCCCTGCCTGTTTTAACCAGTGGGGTCCCAGAAGGGAACTGATGGGAATGGGTTAAACCAGTCAGGGACTGAGAGGACATGCTAATGCAACCCATTGTGGATTTTACAGTCTCGCTTCTCCAGTCAATGCTTAGATTTTTGTTGACTAAATTTAGCTTTTAATTGTTAAACTTATTGTGCATGCAGTACCAAGCTGTCTTAATATCCCTGCATTTGTGCAAAGCTGGGTGTCCTTACTTGCCTAAAAATACTGGTTTCCATGTGTCAGACAAATGGTTGCACGTAACTAAGGGCCTCTCGCTAAACCCGGAATCTTGAGAAAAGTTTTATTTCTGCGCATTACAAGGTTGTCAAAGGACAGATTGCATCTTTTTCTTTTCTGAAAGTGGTGTCTTCATGCAGGTGAATGTCTGAGAGTGAGTCATCCAGAAAAAAAACATGTAAAATGAACTTGTAATTCAAGTACTTTATTCAATTGTGAAAAAGTATGCGTCATTGAATTTTAAAAACATTAACAGGTACTTTTGGAATGATTTTATTTATTTCTTTTAAAAGTAGTTATGACAGAATTACAGGCTGAACTATTTTGTCTTGCACTATATGGCACGTCGTTGGTCTTGCTTGTTATTTTGCATATATAAGTTGTACAGCTATAACAAATGAAGACCTTTACGTGAGCCTCTAACAATGCCTGTCATGTGGAAACTTTGATATCGTGCTGGACTGGTCTGTGAATTGAACTTATGACATACCTCCAGATTTGTTGTCTGGGAGTAACTGAACACGTCTCATTTCTGAGGGATAAATCATTTGCTGAAAGCTTAAATGAAAGTTTGCCGCCCTTCCCCTGCTGACTTGCTGAACAGCCACCATTTCCCTTTATTTAGAAGCAGGTGTGAATTCTTTGGCAGGTTTCTTTTGCCGCCCTGTCCCTCCCTTGTTTTCCTGCTTGTGTTTCAGTCACCCAAAAGAGGGTGTATTTGTGTCAGGTGACACCTCATGTGCATCTGGTTTTCTTTCTCACGTTCAGTCCATTTGTCCTCTCTGCAAGGCAGAGGGCAGGAACATCTGGACGAGCAGTGGTCTCCCCCTATCCTCCACACCTTGTTTCTCTCAGCCTTTCCTCTGGTAGATGCTGGGGAACTGTGTAAATACAAACAGATTTCAGTGGAATTCTGGGTGTTTAAGGACAATTAGCTTGAAGCCAGGGGCAGCTTTCTCTGCTGTCCGGCAATAAGAGAGACTGAAAAGTTGGGTTGTTTTGAATCTCTGCAGAACCGTTTCGAGCTGTCAAGCTCATTAATAAAATTAGACAACAGCTGGATCCTTTGAGAGTGGAAATGTAACAAAAAGGTGCTTCAGGCCACCATTAACACACTGATGAACTCATTACTTTATTTACTCTGCGTCTTTATAGAAAAGTGTAAATTCACGTATTTAGATATCTGCTTTTACGGCTTGCTGTAATCTATGCTAACTGCATTATTGCAGTCGCTACCATTTTGCTATAAGCCAAGTAAAGGCCTTGAGATGTGGAAAGAGGACGTGTTGGGTGGGTTTGAAGTGGAATTTCTGCCTGCTCCACCCAAACAGGCAAGGAGACCCACTGGCCTTGTGGCAGTTGGCCAGTTGCCCCACATGAGGAATCATATGATACTGGACTTAAAGTAACACTTGTGGGTCTTTGTCTATTGAGTGAAACACGCTGGAGGGAATGTGGCTACTTCAGTGAGCACGAAGACTCCTTTATTCTGCAAACACTCTTGCAGTTTGAAGGAACCTGCGGCTTTCCTCTTCCCCTCTGTCACAGGTGAGCGTGTGGGGAAGCCATGTTGACGCTGTCGAGCAAACTGAAGCGAGATGACGGCGTGAAATCGGGTCGGACTTCCGGCGGGCCCCCCGACACCTCGCACAGGGTGTCCATCCGGGACCGGCTGCTCATCAAAGGTCAGTTCTCACGATGGCGCCATCATTGCATCGTGTGATGTCTGTACGGTACCCTACCGCTGCGTTTGCTGTACCCAGGGAGGTGAAACAAGACCATACTAGAGTTAGAGCAGATAAATATTGGTAACTGCCATCTTTAATGTATTCGAAAAACACTAGGAGGGGGAATTGATAAATTTAACAGGCAACATATAACTGACAACATGATAACTTTGGTTGTGTAATGTACTCTCTTAACATGAATTTTCTCTACCAGCATTCCCAGTGGTATTTATGAATCTGTCAGCATGTGATTTTGTGGTTGGGTCTCTTGGGTTGGAGATCTTTAACTTAAGTATGATAAATCTTTTGTGAATAGTATATATTTTTACAGCCTTCCACAACAGCTGTCAGCCATTGCACACGTGATCTTGTGTGTGTTTAGATTTGCTTGTTACTGAAACACCTCATGTCAGTGTGACAAGACTTAATAGTTAATATTCAAACTTGGCAAGACTGTAGCTGGTAATGAGCCACAGAGAATTCAATGTATGTCACAAGAGTTCCTCCCAGTTATCAGGTTGGACATGTTTGCTTGGATCTCAGGAGTAGCTGGGGTGTCCAGTACATTGTTACTTTTAATGGTCTTCCTCCTCCTGTACTCCTATTAACGAGACACATATCGTGCCACATGATATAATCTGTTGGAAGCGGGCAGAGTTTTATGCAAGAAACGTGAATAATTCTTATATAGAAGCTGTATTTTCTTGCCCCACCCTGTATTCCACCTGCAATCGTTATTCAGTTTGTGTACACTCTTTGCAAAGCAGTAATCCGTCTGTTAGGGAACTGACAGTATTCTCAGAGTCCGGGGTGGAGTGAGGCATCCTTTATGTTGCGTATTGAGAAACAGCAGATGCTTCAGAGGTGTTGAATATGAATGTAAAATGAGGAGGAGATAACAGGAAGCGCGAGACACTGTCTGGTTCCTCTGGGGTTAGATGCTGCACGCTCAGACCTGTACTGGAGCCTCTTGGGAGTTCTGGAGTCAGCCTTTCAGAGCTCTCGGAGCAGGGGCTGCCTCTGTCTTTAATGCGGAAGGCTGCACCTACGCACTTAAAGATGCTGTGTTCACGTTTCCACAAAGGTGCTTAAATTGCAATGTTTCTGCCGCATTTTTGTTGCATAGCTTATAGCTGGTAGGGAGGAATTTTTATATTTCTGTTGTTAATGCTCACAGGGATGTGATTGTGCTTTGTGACAAATGGGACTCGTGGCATGTGGTCATTACGCGTCAAATAAAATGAGACCACATGGCTGACTGATTCATCAAGCTTTCAGCCAGCTCTCTCAGGTGAAGCCCAAGGGGGAATTGCGTGACGTCACTTAGGAATTTTTTTTTGGACACTTGTGGCGGTGTGGCCTGTTGTCAGTAAAGCTCAGCGCGAGCATCAGATGGGGGTGCGGGGGAGGGGGTCAGCTAAAGTGGTGCAGTGGGTGGGATAACAGAGGCAGCATCTCAGAGGTGCGGGGGGACTTGTGTCGTGCTGCGAATTCACGGAACCGACGTGGACATCGGGGTGTCTGTCATCCCGTTCTCTGCACCTCCAGCCTCTCCCATGTGCTCTTATCATCTGATCATGGCTGCGACTCGGAGGCGCTCCCCTCATGAACATCAAAGGCCGTTAGATGCCTCTGAGCCGGATTTCTACATGAAAAGACGATGTCTTGTGTTTGACGCGGCCCTGGGGTTCCCCTCTTCCATCACTCAGGACATGCTGTTTTGTATCAAGGATCATTTTGTCCTTTTCCACTCATGTTCTTCTAAGTTTAACTAATATTAAAAGTTAAACTTTTGTGGCTTTTTTTTTGTTTTCTTCATGCTGTTGAAGGTTCTCTAATTTAGGCAAATTAGACACAGCTCTCTGGAGGGCTCTTGGCAGATTTATCCTCGGGTTACAACAGCATGATCCATGTACTTCACTTTGTTCAGGCGGTCCACAAACATGCCTTCAGGCTAGTTGTTGCCTCTGTATTGCAGATCGCTTATGATTGTACGTTTGATTATGCTGTTTATGTGTCAGCTTTGTGCCCTGTGTCCGGCTGCACCGAAACCTTGCAAGCCTGGCCAGGGTAAGTGGTTTGAAGATGTCGATTGGAAATTGACTGCCTTATTGTATATTAATTGTATATTAATGTGTGATATACAGGAGTATAGAATAGACTGTACACAAGTCTGTGTGTCGGCCTCTTTGTGTCTGTTTGTGTCTGTTTGTGTGTGTGTGTCTGTTTGTGTGTGTGTGTGTCTGTGTGTGTGTGTGTGTGTCTGTGTGTGTGTGTATGTGTGTGTGCGCGCATTTAGCTGGGGACCCGAGTGCCTGAGACTGTAGCTCAGCCTCCCAGCTCTAGCTCCGCCCGGGCCTCTCCTTCTCGTACCGCCCCCTTCACTCAGGCAGATCTCGAACCGCCTTAATGCCAAGGCTTTCAGCGGCACCCCCATGTACCGGCGTTTTCCGATGTCTGTCACAATCTGCGTTTAACCTCTCGCCTTCTCTGTGGAGGGATTTCTGCAGCTTAATTCCCTCATCAAATGTTGCCGTGCCCATGACCTGAAATACTTCCCCAAAAAAACAACAAAAAAGGGCTCTGATTGTAAGTTGGGCAAGTTGCTCCAGGGCCCTGAAGTTAATTAACGGCAGTGGCAGTGTGTTGCTGAGACGTTCCTCTCGTTTGCACAGTCGGCACAGAGCCGACACAGCCGACTCGCTGGTCTCTGCCTGTCAGACTCTCGCTGGTTCCCAATCGCACTGCGCCCTGATTTTACATTTTTTTATTATTCTTGCTGTTGCGCTCCTCTTGCTTGAAAGAACCACTTCCACCCTCATCTCCGGGTGTTAATTTGCTCATTTATCACTTAGGAAAGGCAAGAAAATTAACCATCCGTCGGGTCGCTTCCCACTGATTGCCACAAGCCGGCGGCTTGTCATCTTAATGATCAAGACTGAATGATTATTTCTCATTATTAGCATTCATGTGCTGCTCTGTTTTATTACTAATAATTAAGTAGTTTGTCTGCTTTGGGTTATGCTTTTGCTTTGATTCTGGGATTTTTTGGATAATCATTTTATGAACATTTGTCTGCCCCGTTTCATTAAAAAACAAAAATGATTATTGAATTACTATGACGACTGTCCCAGTTGATTCTGCGGTCCGTCTGACAGGCAGCCTTTCTGTCCTTGGAGCCGGAGATCTGCTCAGGAGACAATGGTCACATAGGAGAGGTCTGGAGACCCGGGTTCATGGCTCTTAGCTGAATCCATGTGCTGTTACTGCTCTCCCCTTTTATGAGGCAGGAGGACAGAGCTGCAGTGCTGGATAAGATGGCACTCAGCTGGCATGGTTTGGGGGTCTTATAAGGAGGCCACATGGATGCATCCCAAAGAGCTTTTCTGGGCACATCCGACTGGGCGGAGGCCCGGGGGAAGACCCAGCACACGCCGACGGTGTCATATCTCCCAGCTGGCTTGGGGATCTCTGGGGATTCTCCAGAAGGAGCTGCAGAAGGTCTGTGGTCTCAGTAACGGAGGACTGTGACATGCAGCACGTGTCCTCCTCCAGGAGCAGCAGTGTGAAGATGACGATGGTGATGATTTGGTATAACCGTAGACCATTGTGACAGGATGTGGTCGCTGTCTAGAAGGTGTCACAGCGCTGAATGTGTCACGTGATTTACTGACACTGAATAAACACACTTTGTAAATGCATCCTGTTTTCCAAATGCAAGCCATGAACAGATAGTCCTGGTTTACGAGGCAGATTCTGTGGACTGGTACTGGTGCTGACATCACCTCGTTAATGGGGAACCTCTGTACTGCTGCACAAATGTCACAGTGTGTCAGAATGACAGTCAGTCAGTGTGGAGCTCGAGCGACAGTCCATGTGTGCTAATGTGGACTGGGGGTTTGGGGGTGGGGTGTGATCGGCACCGCAGAAAGGCCTGGGGTGAACTGACCCACACGAATCTGGGCTTGGTCACCTTGGCCGGACTGGGCAAAAATGCCGACTCTGATGCAACTGCGGCGATGGCGTCGGCCGGGGCTGGAAGGGAGCCGTGGATTTTGGACCGCAATGCGCAGAGTCTGCGGGAGGCAGCCGGCATGCAAAAGCCCCCTAACTGTGAGTGGGATGCCAAGCACAGGACTTTACTACTGTAGCCCCGTTTGGGATTGTGAGGAGCTGTCAGTGAGCCCCAGGCAGCACTGCTGAGCTCAGCTGGATAAAACCTGTATTATTAAGCTGCATTATTTATTTTAATATTCTTTTTATTTTTTTTTTGCAGAAGTTGCAGAACTTGAAGCTAACCTTCCCAGTAAGTATTTTCCCATTTCCTTCATTTCACATAACCTCTAAAGTGTAGGACACTGTTTTACCAGCCATGTTCTGTTTGTGGGCCTCAAAGTGCCGATGTCTGGCCTCCCATCCCAATACCCTAAAGCAGTGGTTCTCAACCTTTTTTGCACCGCGACCCAATTTTTACCATGCCAGCTCAGTCGCGACCCTATAACCAGTTTATGTTTAAATTAACGCTGTGATCACTGCACTCTGCAATTTACGCCAACCAATGCCTATCGCACAAATCTGTTCTGGATTGTTTTAGTGTTCACTGGTTATGCACTAAGCAGTTGCAGACCCAAGATATAGAATTGACCTATATGAACGGGGAAATCTGATCGTGGATCAGTGTAGGAGCTTGCCGGTTTTAAAATGCTTACATTTCCAACTCTGCCTCGTTACCCTTTCCGAACTTGTCACGACCTATGAGTTCAGAATCACTACCATAAATCTGGCCGTTCACATCAGAGAAATACACGCAATCAGCGTTGTTTTGGCAAAACGATATCGTATGACGCTGAATCACCGCGATGATCGTGGTTTCGGTGTACCACCTGTGCAGGGTTCCTGAGCTGAACTTTTCCGTTTCTTCTGATCCCACCCACTATCTGATTGGCTGACATAAATGTGATGCCGCGGGATTGGTCAAGAAGACTAATTATGCAGCTACCACATACTTTGCGCCGTATCGCATGCATCTTTAAGTAGTGTAAATTAAAATATATTTGTGTATTTCTCTTAATAGTAAGTGTCATATCCGTGTAATGTTTGCTGTGCAAAGCTTGTGTTTCGTTAGTGTGTAACCATGAATGGTGTGTAAATTGTAGGCTTCTCTGTCTGTGCCAGTGTTGGTATTAAACCAACAGTGGCTGTTAATAAAGTTTTAATCGAGCTGTCATCTCCTTCATTAAAACCACTCATGCTCTCACTACAATACGTTTGTTTACGCTGTAGGAGGGTCTGCCGCACCGAACACATTCTGCGCCCTCTAGGGTCGTGGCATACAATGTGCAAGGTGGTAGCCTCGTTTTAACCGTGCCACAGATTGTTTTCACTGACGTGTTTGATTTCGTTTTGTCCGGATGTCGTGTGAAGTATACGGACACCTGAACAGTGGGCTGTCATCGCTTGTACCATACATGTCTCGCCACCAGGGGGAGTCTAACTCAGCCTTTCCATTCGGGAGGCTTAAGCTTCTTCAACGCCACTGATTTGGGGGGGGGGGGGTGAGGTGGAGTGTGGCATCTCAGAGGTTCTGCAGTTTAAATGGTCATCTGTATGTCTATCTGTGTTTTTGCTTTCAGTCATAATGTATGACGTCCTTGCTATTAGGCTGATGATACTGTCTCAGAGCTGTGTACCGTGCTGTCACACATCTCTCCTCTGACCTGTCACTCTCCTAGGTACCTGTAAAGTTGCCTTCCCTGACGTGAACAAGCTACACCACTTCCAACTGGACATCTCCCCAGGTAAGGCGGGCCAGCCTGGTCCTGACCGGCTGAGGGTAGCTGGCCTTTCTGGCCAGGCCTGGGAGCACAGCAGCCAAGATCTTATCCGTTATACTCATGGCATGATGGTATGTTGAATGTCTCACGCATGTTACTGATAATGGGAATGAACTAACAGTTCAGTGTTTACTTGTACAGGGGGTGGGGGTGAGTCTGTCATGTGTCAGTTTGATGGAAGTCAAGGTGCTTTGTTGACGGTGTTTTTGCTGTTTAATGTGACAGGGACATTTTGACTTTTACGGATTTGTGTTACCAGTTATTTGAAGGTGCAGGGTGATGTACATCATGCTAATCAGCCAGTGCCTGTTTTTGCCTTTGACTCTTAATGACAAGCAGGACTAAAAAGGCGTTTGGTCTGACTGAGTAATCCCAGTCTAAAAGGGATTGTACTGGAAATGATTACCCTTGAAACGCAGAGATCCCCATTGCCTAAACTCTGGGTGACACTACCCTCACAGACAGGAGCCCAGACCTCCATGTCCTCTAGAGATGCACCAATCCGATATTCAGCTCTGTAGCGGCACCAATCCATACCTACTGGATGGATCAGGTACTGGCCATATACGACTGGTTCTCGTTTGATACTTACTAGTTTAGTTTTCGGCAGTCTGTAAAAAGATGAACACTTATGCTGCCAGTTTCTGTTTGCCATTCAGTGGGTGTGAGTGCAGTGACTTCCTCCCGCTCTCACGTCACGTCACGTCACGCGCGTACGCTTTGCAACAGGAGGAGCGCAAGAACGTCAGATAAGAGGGTGACGATCTGGTATTTTATGCTGGAAACAACAACTAGTAGCACTGCAATTTGCAGTCTTTGCAAAAACAAAGTTTTGAGAGGTACAAGTAACCTGTAGTGCAATGTTTCCCCTAGGTTTACAGCTTTGGGGGGTGGTGGGGGGGGGGAACTCCAGCATGCGCGATACAGAGAGCAGAGGAGAATTGTGTAAACGCACAACCGTGTAGAGAGAAAAATGACAAGCTGCTGTTTAAATAAGGTAAATAACACAAGGCTATTTAGTTTGTTTAATAAAAGGACAATGCAGAGACCTGTTCTATAGGAAAAGTAAACTTAAATGATTTCTGTTGTGATCTAGCTCTATATAGAAAATAAAATTTAAATGAAATTAACTTGACCTTCAAAGGGGGGGCGGGGCACCCCCCCTAATTTAATGGTAGGAGAAACACTGTAGTGGAAAATCCCACTAAACAAAGTGCACGCAATTGTGTAATATGAAAAAAAGCATTGGATGATTTGGGAGTCACTAGCTTGGGCTGTTTTCTGCGTGTTCGCCGCAGCTTGTGATATCGCTACAAAGTGTAAGTGACGCTGTTACCAGTGAGATAAAAATTATGGGGCATTTTAAACATTCCCCGCTTGCGTATCCTTGCTTTGAAGATATTCAAATTGAACAATTTGTCTCTAAAATGCTTAAAACAAAATGTAAAACAAAAGGTGGAACAGAACGTTATGTATGTTTCTAGTAGCCTAATTGAAGATTTATTTGGCACACATTTTTAAAATTTGTATTCACTAGTTTAAAAATTAATATATAAAGTATAAATATTTCTATATTTTCTCTATTTTTTTATTACATAAAAATATTAAAATAAGAATATTAAAGTAAAAAGAGCTCTTGTATTGGAATCTGTATCGGCAGTTGTGTATCAGAATTGGATCGGAAATGAAATAATGGGGCTCGGCGCCTCCCCAGTGCCCCCCTCCAGCTACAGAGGTGTGTCTGTTGATTTAAAGTGACCTGCAGATAGGCCATCATTGTCTTAAGCAAACTGCAGTTTGGCCTTTAGGAAGTGACAAAGGGCGGGATGGGCGAGTGCTTTGGGGTCGGAAGTCTGAGCAGTAAGCACTTTAAATGTGAATATGTGCACAAATCAAAGATTTTTAATGGACATGCAGTTGACGTGTGTATGAGAGGCGACTCCCCACCTTCCTGGGGTCGGCCACGGTTCGCCAAGTCACATGGCTAGCCTGTTCCCACAGAGACACTGTCACCTGCTGGTCCTGTCAGAAGGAGCACATGGTCATGTCCCCACAGATGGTCACGAGGCTTGTGTTTGTGAATAGAAGTGAATGCCATGGTTTAATGACCGCTCTGGTGCAGCCCTGAGCGCGTGAAGGCCGGACTGATGAATGAGTCAGCAGAGCGGCCCAGGAAACGGTCAGACTAATGAATAAATGTTTCAGTGCAGAGGATGCAAACATCTCCCCATGTCAGTCTCCCATTATAAATACATTGTCATTCACCTGATGTAATTTTCTGTTTTGTCTTGCAAAATAGTTCTTTTTTTTTTTTTTTTTAAAGTTTTTGTTTTGTTTGTTGGCTGTGTGATGGTGTGTCAGATTTAGCACCTCTGACGATTGGGGTGGATGGAGCCCTAGCGAGGATCCCACAGGGAGCAGGATGTTAGGAGGACATGGTGGGGGGGTAACGATCCCCACTTGGTGCCCCCCCCCTCCCCCGTCAGGGGGAGAGGTCGGCCGATGGCCGACTTGAGTTTCACGGTGGAAAGAAGAGCGGCTGAAGAGTGAAAAGGTGCGATGGTGCTGGACGTCGCAAGGTCGAAATCTGATCTGGAGGTCACGCGTTTAAAAAAGTTTGTGTGTCACGGTACAAACTGGCTTCGCCTGCAGATCTTTTAGCCTCCGTTCTTTTGCGGAATTTTCTGTAAAAAAAAGGCAGAGCAGAGTGTGTGCGTGTGCGTGTGCGTGTGCGTGTGCGTGTGCGTGTGCGTGTGCGTGTGCGTGTGTACGTACATATACATAGAGAGAGAGAAAATGAATTTTCTCTATGGTTGGAAGGCACTGATAAGTATAGCACACATTTCTGCCCCAATAAGTGTGTACCTCTTGTCTTGTACACCTGTCCAGATTGTTGTGTGTCTGTTTTCATCTGCGGAGCTGTCGGAATATCTTAGCGATGTGAGGAGACTGCCCAGGAAATGCCTTAAGCCAAGGGCATCTGAATTACTTTGGGGTGTCCAATGTCACGTCTCATCATACTTCTGTCCCTTATATGTACGTCGCCAGTTCCGCCTGGAGGTCGACCGTGATGCAGTTCACTGCACATTGTACCGTCTCTAATTGTGTGTATGACAAATAAAACTTTGAACTTGAACTTGGATGAGCAGGGTGAGAGTGCAGATTATTTCCGGCATAGATTCCATCACCGCTCCCCACTGGCTGCTGGCTGTGAAGGCATTTTACTGACAGGTGTCGACTCGGGTAGAATTATCGCATGTGCTAAAAAGAAGGAATAAGGTAGCAATCTAAGAAGACATCAATCCTGCAGTGATTCATGTGCAGTGATTCATGTGCAGTGATTCATGTGCAGTGATTCATGTGCAGCTCATGTGAAACGCTTGGCAGGGCGGCCCACTGGGCAGTACTGCTGCCTCACATCTCCACAGTTGGGGGTTTGAATCCAGATGCGATGCACTGAGGCTAATTGGCACGTCTGAATCGCCCGTAGTGTGTTTATATGGGCCGAGATGAGGGCGAATGCTGTCCAAGGTACCCCCCTGCAGTGAGACAGGCCCCAACCCCCCAGTCCCCACCCCCCTGTCCAAAATAAGCAGTGGGAAGATGGATGGATTCTTTGGTATGTCAACGGATTGTGAAAGTGGTGCAAGCAGCATAAATGTGCCAGGTATGGAAGTGATACTGTCATATTTTGGGTTTTTTTACTCAAGGACAGGAAGTACCGATTTAAAGTGAAATATTCAGCAGAATTCCCTCCTCTTTACTGCATAATATCGGTCTGCTCCGGTTAATCAGGATTCTTAGAGGAAAGTTTTTTTTTTTTCCTTTTTAAATGAAACATGCCTGTTTTCCGATAGAGGAGGATGAATGCTGTGGAGAATGCCGGAGACTTGATGTCTGGGAAGTGTGAGGCGTCCGTCGGTGGAAGCGCCGCGCGGGGGTGTTCCACCGGGCTGCGCCGTTATTAACAAGGCAGCTCCTCCAGCTTGCTGCGGCAGCGGCCGGCCAGCCCCCCCCCCCCCCCCCCCCCCCCCCCCGCCTTTTTTTTTTTTATCTGTAGCATCTCCCCCGACAGCAGCCGCGCGGTGACGCCCTGTAGCCCTGTAGCCCTGTAGCCCTGTAGCCCTGTAGCCCCCCAGTGTTTCCCCACCTGCTCCCTCCCTCTCATTTTGTTTTGTGTTTGAACATAACAACACAAGTTTACAAACGAGGCCAATCACCCCGTCGAGCTTGTTTGGGGAGAACTCAGCTAACAACTTAAACTTAATGTAAAATCTTATCTAGCTTAGATTTAAAGGAACCCGAGGTTTTAGCTTGCACTGCACTCACAGGAAAACTATTCCATACTCTAACCATCAATAAGGACATTAAGGGCTTGTTTTGTTTTTATTTATTTGCCTCTGTCCAAGATGACCAGTCTGTAGGGTGCATGGTTTAACTGGCTGTATATAACTGGCCCCAGTGATTCAAGGCACCTATAGTCCTCCCTTCACGCTTCCCATCAGGTGGCCTGATCTGTGCTCAGCGTGCGGCCGGTGTGTCAAATGAAGTATTGCCATAATCGCCGACCCCCGGCATGTAAACAGCATCCCACCTACTGCCAGTGTAAAGCTACTTGGTTAGAGAACCTATTAAATCTCCTGTTGACCTTCTGACCGGCAATAAGGCTTGGTCACCCCCCTATGCTCTGTGTACACACAGGCGTGCTCCTCCAGTCTTGATATTGCCAGTTTTATTTCAACAATGGAGAAGGAGGAAATTGCCCAGATTTTTTCAGCCAGTGAGTTGTGTTGTGCTGCGGAATGGGCATGATGAAAGGACGGACATGCGTCTGGTAATGGCGTCTGAGACGGAGGGGTGTCGTCTATCATTACCTTCCACATGGAATCAGTGTTTACAATAAGTGAGATGCAGTTTTGGCTGACGGCCCCTTGAGAAGCGACCTGAAGCTACCCTGCTGTGTC